AATATCTTGGAGGATTATAGAGCATTTCCAGCTTGTGGTATAAATGTTTGTCGTTGTTTGGAAGAATATTTTAGTATCTCCTTGATTTTAAGAATTACATGAGTATGTAATGTTGATATATTTATGCCTTTGCTCAAAACTGGCAAAATGAGTGCAGTTCAACTTTGCTGGTATTTAGTACTTTTTGGGCATCGCTTAGGCCATTTGATTTTGTGGAGTATGAACACAAGAGTCTCATCTGGCAATCTTTTCTTGAATCTATTGAATTTTATGCACCAACCAATAGAACCAACAGTTTGCAGGTTCAATAGAATCGGCATAAACTTCAATAGAATCGACCTGCAGAACCAAGTTTGCAGGTTCAGATTATAGCCCTATACATAATCCATAAAGTATTTTCATCCATCAATGATCATAAAGTTTTATGGCAAGTGTCTGAACTTTCTATCCGGCAGCATTCATCTTAGTTGTCTTGCTATGCTTAGTTAAAAAATTTACCTGGTTAAATGAGTGTTGACCTGTACTTGTTTGTGCATTTTATTTTCAATTTCGTAAGTGATATTGTCTCCTTGTCATTTTCACATCTTCAGGCATTCATTGATAATTCCAAAACGCCATTTTTCATTGATGGAGGCCACTCCACCTCATGTAAGTGTTTTATTACTATATTATAATGATATGGTTTCTAGGAAATTATTGTTTCTCGATTTGAAGTGGAACCTCATAAAAAAATAACCATGTTTGGTATTGATATTTTCTCTGCAAGTAATATGTAGTTAGGTAAATAACATCCATTCTGTCATCTTGACTTTGCATTTAAGTGGGCTCATTGATTGGAAAAATGTCTCCTGCTTCCAAAATTGAATGGAACAAATAGTATCATATGCCACACCCAAATAGTTTTTCTTCTTAGGCGCCAAACGAATCAAAATGCTGCAGTATTTATTCCATGAGCTGATTACCAATTTACCCTTGCATTAGTTTTTTGCAAATCTCATAGTTTGTTGTATGAAAGCTCAATTTTAGATCCAAAACTATATTTGAGCACAAAAACTTCGAGATACCACATCCGAATCTTTGTAGTGGATTGAAGCCAAAACAGGTGACATGCAACCTTTTTTTTGTTATTTGCCATTTATGGAAGCTACTTAATTAACCAAATAGTCATGCCTAGACCTGATGTTACTAAGGGAAATCTGATGATCAACTGGTGGATTCATTTTGTAACTACTATTGGAGCATTCCTTCACACGCCTCCGGACCTGTTGGTTCCTTCTGGTGGCGTGACATTTTTAAACTGTCTCTTAAATTCAGACAAATTGCTTCCTCTCCATTGCTAGAGGCGACACTGCCGTTTTTTGGAGTGATCACTTGTCTGATCAACTCCTGCGTAGAAGATTTCTGAGGCTGCATTCTTTTGCCCTTGATAATCTGTCACCGGTCCATGATGTCCTTACCACCCAGGACCCTTTGGATTCAGACAAAGGCTTTGTGTGGCTCCTTCTGAATGATGAACTTAACACCAGGGACATGCTTCAGCGGAGCAGAGGGATGCCAATTTTTTTTACAACGTGATTCCTAGGAGGCCCTCTTGATTGTTTAGCTTCAAGAGGGATCTCTTCCTTCTTTCTTACAGAATGAAGGAGGAGCTTGCTGCTTCCCTCAGGCCCTGGCTAGATTGGCTCGACTCTAGCACTATCCTTGTTGTTTAGTTTTCCCACTGTGTGCTGCCCCTCCCCCTTCTCCTCTCCCGCCTCTCTCATACATAAATTATATGTTATATATTAATATAATTTACCGTGGAGCCTCCCTTACACTTTCCATTAGGAAAAAATAACTAATATTGGAGCATTACTTTAATGTAACATATATTAGTTCATATCGTGTAGTTTATCTTTGTCTCTTTTGTTTAGTCTTTTCCGAGTGAGCTGCTAGTATAGCTATTTTATTGAATTGAAATACATTGTTGCATGTACTACAGGAAACTATTTAATCCTCATCACGTCATGCTAATGATCTCAAATTGTATCCTTATGTTCATCATACTCCTGAGTTTTATTTTATCTGTCAGTTAGACTATGCGTGTTTTTCCCCACCAAAATGGTTGGTGTTCAACTGTTCATCGGCGGATCTGCATGAAGACAAGGGTTGATGTGCAGTCCGAATTTTATTTTTATTCATAATTTCATATACTCTTTTATATTTTAATGAAATTTATTTACTTTAGTAATGTTTTCACTTTTAAGGGGTGCATTTTAATCTGGCGAAAAGCATCTCAATGAAATAAGTAGAAAAAATGCACAAAGCAAGCTAGAAATTTTGCACCCCCATTGCTCAATTTCTAGATCATCTACCAGATTAATCACATAAGAACGTCTTCTGATATTGATATCTTGTCTCTGAGCCAGATCATAGCAGCCATGTGTTCCAAAGTACCTTTTCTGAGCAATGCAATTATGAAGGCTACTGACTGCGGTAGGTAGACTACAAATATTTTCTATTTGTTTTTGGCATAAAAAAAAAGGGCAGCCCGGTGCATGTAGCTCCCTACAAATATTTTCTATTTGTTTTTGGCATAAGTAAATTATATATTTTCTCGTAATAGAACTGTCTGT